CAATCAAATCAAAAATGATTTAGCCTAATCGGCTAAGTCATAATTAATTAATTAAAATTTTTAAAATTTTATATTGAATTGAAACATGCACAATACTATAATATTAAATGAGATGGGAGTACAAGATTCACTTTATATGAATAAAATAACTCATTTTTTCCCTTTATTTTTCTATGTGGGATTATCAAATATAAGTTAGCTAATGAAGATTTTCTTAATTGTTTAAAATTAAGAAAATCAAAAAATTTAATATGAAATATTGAAATTCTCACCAAGCTCCTCCCTAAATGGGATAGAAGTATAAGATTTATTTTATATAAGTAAAAAACTCATTTTTTTCTTCTTTTCCCGTTGTGGCATTATCAAATAAAAATTAGCCAATAAAGATTTTTTTAATTGTTTAAAATTAAGAAAATCGAGAAGATTAGAATGACGATTTGGAACACCTAGAAGGCTTAATTATTTTAAAATTATCATTTTTATTAATTAATTAAAACTTTTAAAATTTAAACTATATTGAATTGAAACATGCATAATACTACAATATTAAATAGGATGGGAGAGATTCACTTTATATGAGTAAAACAACTCATTTTTTTTCTCCTTATTTTCCCGATGTGGGATTATCAAATAAAAGCTAACCAAGGAAAATTTTCTTACTTGTTTAAAATTAAGAAAATCAAGAAAATTAATATAAGATATTGAAACTTTCATATGGCTCCTCACTAAATGGGATGAGAGTATAAGATTTATTTTATATGAGTAAAATAACTCATTTTTTTTGCCAATGTGAAATTATCAAATAAAAGTATAAAATCGCTAAAATTGTGGTTAAATAAACGAATCAATCAAATCAAAAATGATTTAGCCTAATCGGCTAGATGATAATTAATTAATTAAAACTTTTAAAATTAAAATTATATTGAATTGAAACATGCAAAATACTATAATATTAAATGGGATGAGAGTATAAGATTTACTTTATATGAGTAAAACAACACATTTTTTTTCCTTCTTTTTCTGATGTGGCATCATCAAATAAAAACTAGCAAATGGAAATTTTCTTAATTGTTTAAAATTAATAAAATCTAGAAAATTCATATGAGATATTGAAACTCTCACAAGACTCCTCACTAAATGAGATAGGAGTATAAGATTTACTTTATATGAGTAAAACAACTAATTTTTTTCCTTATTTTTTCGATGTGAGATTATTAAATAAAAGTTAGTCAATATTAATTTTCTTAACTGTTTAAAATTAAGAAAATTAGAATGAGGATTTAGGCTCCGTTTGGGAAGTGGGTTGGCTTTTTGGCTTTTTTGATTATATGAGCATGGGCTCAAAAGCTTAGTTTGGGAAGGGCTTTTGACTTTTTTGATTTTTTTGTGAGAGAAGAGTGTAATGATTATGGGGTTGGATGAGATGTTTTGTCTGTTGTGGCTCATGAGCTTATTCTGTCTTTTATGGCTCAATGAGCCAAAAAAGCCCAATGAGCCCTTGCCAAACCAACCCTTAGAATTCCTAGAAGGCTTCTCACTAAAAAGTTTATTTTCTTTATATAATAAAAATGTAGACATAGAAATGTATCTAATTCGTATTCAAATTTTAAAAATCCATGGAGGGAAATATATCTAACGGTGCATTTTAAAATTATAAAATAAGGATAAATATAAATATAATTATGCATTTGAAAATTATAAAATAAAGATAAATATATCTAAATATCCATTTGAAAATTATAAAATGGGAATAAATATATCTAACTATTTGAAATTATAAAATGGGGACATATATTTAACTGTGTATGTTTATTTTAAATTTATAAAATGGGAACAATATATATACTACCTGAGAGGGAGTTTTTATGTACACTCAGGGCGGAGCTAGGCCCAGTCATTGTAGTGGACCGATTCGTGTGCCGTAGTAAAAAGGACTTCACAAATTGGACCTAGTTTTGTTAGCTCGGTCTAAGTGTGGTGACAATTACCTCGGGCGAAGAGGTGACTGCAAATAGCTCGAACCATATACTCCGGCCCGAGGTATGTTTGTTATGGCTAAAATAGCCTATTTTGTTTTTTGTGGCTAAAATAGCCAAAAAAGCCTGAAAACCATCTTGCCAAACAGAGGCTCAGGGCGGAGCTAGGCCCAGTCATTGTAGTGGACCGATTCGTGTGCCGTAGTAAAAAGGACTTCACAAATTGGACCTAGTTTTGTTAGCTCGGTCTAAGTGTGGTGACAATTACCTCGGGCGAAGAGGTGACTGCAAATAGCTCGAACCATATACTCCGGCCCGAGGTATAGTTGAGTGGTAATCGAGCTAAGGCGTCACTTGTGGACGCACTGAGCTGAATTGTAAGATCAAGGTAGGACCAAGCTAGGTGAAGCACGGTTGAGACTGCCGCTTAAGTATAGCGGTGTTAGCTCAGTTGTGTAATCATACAGCCGTAGTAAAACCATTTCACTTTGTTAAAGCAGTGAAGAAAGTGTTAAAAGATAAGCATTATCTTTCAGAAGTATAATTCCTAGGAGGACTCTACATTGCAGAATAAGAGTCCTACTAGGATTGTGCCGTGCAAAATCTATAAAAACTCATGACAAGACCTATGCATAGGTATCACAATTTTGATTCTCGAATACATAGAGCTTTTGTCTATTTTGCTGACTTTGACATCGGAGAGGTATCCGACACACACCCACCGGCTAGCTCACGTTTGTGTTTTCAAGGAATAAAGCGACAACGTTTGGAGGGGCACAAACTTAATCAACAGGATTATACGAGAAAATTATTTCATACTCGTACACTACCTATCAATTATTTTTTTTTTTTTTAAATTTCATATTCAACATATATCTTATTTGAAAGATTTTCAAACAATAAATTCAAAAAAGTTAATTTAATAATTTTATAGTGATAAAATTGTGATCTAATTTTATGTGTTAAGTATTTATTGATTTAGCAAGTATATGAATATTTCAATGGACTAGCTATAGTGTCAGTAAAGTTTAAAAATATAAGGAATGTTGTGGTACATATCTTCATATTTGTGGATTTGATTATCACTGATGTCATAATTCAATTTTATGAGAGTCATATAAAAAAAAGGTGAAGGTTCTCTCCAATTGCCAAGTAGAGGGTGTTGTTGGGCCTTTGTGGGCCCATCATAGAACCTGTATCGATGATCCAAACCGTTTTATGTGTAGGGCTCGTTGAGTACTTCATTTTTACAAAAAAATCACGTTGATTGGATATCTATAAACTATTGATCACATCATATTTGTGCCAAAAATTTATTTAAAGAATCATACTTACCGTTGACACAAATGTAATTTGATCAATTGGCTATCAATATTCGATCAACATAATTTTTTATAGAGATGAAATACTCGATAAACTTTACACATTAAACGGTTCGAATTATCGATATGGGCTCTATGATGGGCCCAAAGACTACATAACCAAAAAGCCCTTGAATTATAACTAAAATGGCAAACTTCATTTTATCTAGTGTGATTTGGATTATGTGTGATTTAACCCTAACATTTAGAAATGACTACCTACCCCCATTGTGATAAAGTGAAATTTGCCCTAATTAAAATAATGTCATAATAAATAATATAATAATAAATTATAACCAAAAACTACATAAATCATAATTTAGAGGGTACATGATAAACACTCCAAATTTTCCTAAAATATATTCCATATGTGTATTATATATGTAAAAGAAAAGAGAACAGTCAACATAGTTAATGCTTGACACATTTATTTTGTTACAACGCTTCAAACTGAGATCCGAAATTAGTAAAAATTATTAAAAGAATAAAGGTTGAGACCTCTTTTGGGGTCACCCTCTCGACCCCTTTAGTTTTGATTGGTTAATTTTTTCTTTTTTTTTTTCCTTCTCACCCAATTTCCAACCTCCATGTGTGTGAGGGGATTGTAGGGGTGAGTGTTCTAAAGGGGTCTAAATCAATGCCCTTATTAAAATAATACTATAAGCTAATGACGCTAATTAACCCACACTAAATATAAAATTAATTACCCACTTCCTTAAATGTTAAAAGAAAAACTCTAGAGGACCAGACTTATCCACCCATTTACTCGGAAGGTGATTGTATGATGATGATTAAATTTATGTAATGTGAATATATATATAAAATAAATCTGAATTATAAGATAAAAATTTTAAATAATTTTTAAATTGATAAGATGGATTCGTAATATTACTTATGTTAAAGAAAAATGTTTAAGAATTTTAAATTGAGAGCTCTAAGTGTGGGTCTCATAGTGATTGTGATATTTTAATTTTTTTTTTATTCCCTATTATATCATTAAAGTTTAATTAAAACTTCAAAATTAGAGATGTATCATTCCTGCGTGTTAAAATAGCAGGGAGCTGTCTGCATTACACGGTGGTACTTTTTTTTTCCTTTTATGTTACGGAACATTTCTGCTTTAAATACAAATTTTTTTTTTTTTTGGTACTTGGGAAAGGAAGCTTTAAATACAATGGTCATAGGAAAAAGAAGTACAAAATAATGAGGGGTGTAGAGTTTTAACTAATAAAGCTCATAAAACCTCTCATATAAATGTAAAACTCACATAATTTGAAAGATTTAATAAAAAAAATTAATAAATTATTTAAAATCAAAATATTTTTGCAAATTTTTTTACTGGTATGATGTAATTTTTCCTTTCTGCATTACAGGGTTGTACTTTGTACAGGTGCCAGCATTTGTTGACTTGACTGGTGGGGTGGCTTTGGTCCGGCGTTTGATTGGACTAAAAAGATGGTTTTTTAATTTGTGATTCACTAATTATACTTAGTCTTGTTTTGACCGTGACCCTCTGATAATATTATAATTATATTATTTTAACAAACTCAACGCTACCCGCCACCAGTGTGGTCTCTCTCTCTCTCTCTTCGTCTCGCACACCACCACTACTCTTTTCCGTATAAATATCGAATTAAAAACAGCACAACATACACCAGACACATTCTCTCTCTCTCTCTCTCTCTGTGGTTCGGTTGATGTGGAAAACGCCATTCTCGTGAACACAAAGGACCTAGCTAAACGCTCTCTCTCTCTCAAAGGCTCGTAACAGAGTTCGGAGTAAAGAGCTCTTTCTCTTCCACATCTCTCAGGTACATGTGTGTATATACTCTCTGTAGATTGCTCTAATTTCAGTAAGTGAATTGTTTCCAATCGAAATTGATTTAGATTATAGAGCATATATATATATATATGTATTTAGATTTAGTGCGTTTTTGTATTCTAAGGATTTCAGATCAGTACAGTCAATAAATGCAATATGCAGCTTCATGTAAAATAGCTCTTAAATTCGATAGGACTTCGGTGTAAATCATTCATTGAATTGTTTCCAATCGAATTGGATTTGGATTGAAGAGCGTAGAATATTTTTTTTTTCTTCTTTTGATGAGTTTCGTGTTCTCTTTCAGATCAATGAAGTCAATAAATAATCTGAGCTTTTCTATACTGATGATGCATTAATAGATTTTTCTGGTTTCTGTGTTTATTGCTGATCCGTGCCGTGCATGATATTATTTGAGTGGATCGCTAAATCTCTGTATTTGATGACTAATTTTTAGTACTAGAATGTGTTTACCCTTAACAATGAGTAAATTCTTTGTTTTATAATTTATTTATTATATTCATTTGTTTTTTTTAATTCTATTAATTTTGAGAGCATGGAATCAGATCAACTGCGGTGACTGTACGCAATTAAATTTATTCTGGCTGCTTCGGTTTGAGCAGTGCTAACGTGATGTAAATGTTTGAACAATTTATATGATTCAGATCAAGTTTTTGACCTGTTCAATAAGATTTACAGTAGCACTGCCACATACAAACAAGTCCATTATATATATATTGAAAACCCCTTGTTGGTGATTTGGTATGATATTCTAATCATGCCAACTGTCAAAAAAAATTAAAAAAAAATTGTCCCTATTCTCTAGGTATCTGGGAACTTTATATTGGCTGTAAATAACCCATAGTTAAGAAAAATACATAATAGAAACCAACTTCCATTTTCTTTGCATAATTTGGTAATGTTGGCTCTCCACCTACTGGTATTAATGCTTCTGTCAATGCATGGGGCCCTAGGCTGCTTGTTATTGTTAGAAATGATTTAGAACTGAAAAATCCAAACCATAATATCACTTTTGCTCAATTTTTTTTTTCCCATATGCATCCAAACATAATCTGAGCAAGAGTCTCTAGTCAATTTGTCTTGGAGGAACGGAATAGAGAAGCGTTCATTTTCTTGTACTTAAATATTAGCAAAAAGCAATGAGGAAAATGCTGAACATTGTTTTGATTTTTGTTAGCACACTTGTGGTTTGGTCCACGGTTTCTTCCTTATTTCTGCCTTCTGAAGACGTTGGTCAGTGTGTGCAGCAAAATTCTTTCTTCTAACACAAGGAGTAAAAGAAATTAGTGACATTTGGAGTGGTTTGGGGATATGCTATTTTAACCAACAACAGCAACACAAATTGGAAAATTTGTATGGCAATGATCGTACTAAAAGAGCGAGCACTACAAACAGTTTGGCGAAGAGTAGGAAGAGAAGTATTTAAATGTTCTTTTATATGAGAAGTTACAGTGTGAGCTATCAACTTGACCCACTCTAAAATAATTGGCAGAATAGTACAATGATTAATTTGACTAAAAACACCTTTGATTAGTTATTTGTGATGCAAACGCCTTCCTATATGGGTTGACTGGTGGTTTTGCTGATACCATCGTGATTGGATCCTCAAAAAGTGCTGCTGCTGCTCTCTCCTCTTTCTCCGTAAAGGGCGGCCGCATAATAATTTATTTTGTAAATTGTAGCCAATATCATCATTATGAGCGAAGCCGAGTAAATTATACAAGCTCTTTTGGTAGGATTTTCTTTTTCTTATTTTGGTAGGATATGAGTAATTTTTGGTGGAAGACTAATTACATGTCAAAAAAACTCCATTACTGCCTCTAGTTGATACAATTTTTCTGCAGAAAAACAGAATCTGAAGCTTCATTAGACTTCTCTTAGAACTATAAATTGCACCAACTTCATGGTCTCTACAAGTTTCATTTCATCAATAATAGGCTTTTTTACCTGGCCAAAAAAAAAAAGAAGAAGAAGAAGAAAATTTCCGTACCTGTCTATTATCTAGTTTAAGTTGTTATTCAATTGTGCTTCTGTCCCTTCCTCATAATTTTCTTTGTTTACCTGGTCATGTATTTAAGGGCGGCTTGGCCCAATGGTTAGGCTTTCCTCTGCTAGAGTTCCTGTTGGCATGGGTTCGAGTCACGAAAATAGCCTCTCCAGAAATGGGGATAAGGCTGCGAAATCTTGCCGTTCCCAAACCCCTCTTTAGCAGTAGTCTCATGTACTAGGTTGCACTTTTATTAGTTATTATTTATTTTATTTTTATGTTCCTTCCTGGTTATGTATTTAATTCTGACTTTCTTAAATTATATATTTACAAGGAATTATCCATATGACTAAAAGCATTGTCTCAGAACTTCAAATTATATTACTTAAAGTTCTTTATTTTTTTTCTTTCACTTAACAGTTGCGATGTATTCGATCTTTCGGAGAAAGCAGCATCAAAATCAGGAGGATGATTCTTCACAAGATACAAAGGTAAACGCAAGCTTGAAACTTGATATAGAACTGAAATTCGTTTGATGAACACATGTTTGCCTATGTATATATATTATACATGGGTACATTGACTGAGTATAATTTCACTGTTTCTGCTACCCTTTATTGTAACCAGCAGTCTCTTGTGGTGCTCATCTAGTTGCATTTCAAAGATTGAAGTGTGGGAAACTGGCTTTCAAATCAAGAGTAGTTATTACTCATTTGTTTCTTGAGCATCTGCATAACTAGAAATGCCTTCATTTTGTTATGGCTTGGAGCCTTAGACTGTATAGGTCTCCAGAGGACTGTACCAGAAGGTTCAAGATTGTAATTCTTTTATTTTATGTTGTGAACACTAAATAAAAAATAATCAAGTAAATTGATGGCAAAGATAAATCTTCTCTTCTTTTTTTTTTTTCTTTTTTTTTTCCTCTTTTTTTTGTAAATTGAAAACAGGGTCTAAATATTTGTTCTGCAAGCAGGTTGGTGAACTCAAGGCTGCTATTGGGCCCCTATCTGGACGTAGCTTGCAGTACTGCACTGATGCATGCCTGAGGAGATATTTGTCTCTTCTTTTTTTTTTTTTCTTTTTTTTTCCTCTTTTTTTTGTAAATTGAAAACAGGGTCTAAATATTTGTTCTGCAAGCAGGTTGGTGAACTCAAGGCTGCTATTGGGCCCCTATCTGGACGTAGCTTGCAGTACTGCACTGATGCATGCCTGAGGAGATATTTGGAAGCTCGAAATTGGAATGTTGGCAAGGCAAAGAAAATGTTGGAGGAGACACTCCAATGGAGGTCAACCTATAAACCGGAGGAAATCTGTTGGGTAAGTCAAGTGGACAATATATGTTGCAATTTTTTTTATCATTCTCTCTCCATGTTTTACTTGATTTAACATATAATGCCCTTATTATTCTTCACATTAGGGAAATGTGATATAGTTTTTGTAGATTCAATAAGTGAATGATTCATTATCTTGTTCTCCTTTCTTGAGATGTCAGTATGTATGAAAGCATCAATTAGGACTAATGGCATGTTCATATTATAAATCAGCATACATATTACATGATATATGTGATACAGCTGGACCCACATAATTAAAAAAACATGTGCTAAACCATTCTAAGATGAAAAATCGAAATCATCAAATAAACGAATTTGTATCTTGAAATGTGAAAAGTCACTATTATGTTTCTCAAAGAATAGAGTAAATATTTCGAATGTGTTCAGGTGGTGAAATGAAAAATTGCAAAAATTTAGGCATAACTAATACTTGTTCAATTTCACAATTATGTCAGTTTGTGGTGTAGTATAGGCTTGGAAGTTCTCCTACTGAAGTCCTGGTTTACTGGAAATATAATAAACTATGAGTGAGAGTTTTTTAAAATCTTAGTGTGGAAGTTATGGTTTTCTTTTTTCTTTTTTATTCAATGAGCATTGAACCATACAAAATAGTGTTATAAATATACCTTTGACCTTACAATTCTCTTTGTGCAAGTCTGACTTCCCTTAAACATTAAACTTCACAAGGGCATACATACCAAAGTGAACATTTGGCCACAAAGTGGGCAAGTGCATTGAACCAAGAATATTGAATAAAAATGTGTTTCCAAGAAGTAATAACCTTTTTTTGGCAAATACATTCAGAACATGTCTTGTGATATATGAGTGCTGCATAAGGTATCTATAGAAGGCCTTATCTTTATCTAAAGAACCACACTGACCCTTCAATTTTGCTTGAAGGTGTGAATTAATATGTTGATGAATAACAAACTCACTACAGGTAATCATACCTCCTGTTTATGATTTGTATATTTGTTGTTTGGCACCATCAATATCTCTGTGCCTCTAATGGTGTAAAGGTTTTGGTTATGGAACAATCTCTGACTAAGATGAAGTCTGAATGAAACCCCCAATTGTCTTTTATCCTATTATCATATGGTAAGTCGATACCGGTTGACCTATCAATTCCAAAGTGCCTCAAATTCAGATGATATCATGAACTATGAGAAAATTTGGTTGAAATTTAAAACTTGCTTTCTTAAGGTGAAACATCGTTATTGATTTATTGCATCATGTTTTTTGAATTCAGGTATGATATGCTTGGAATTCCAAGCCTTTTATCTGTTGTTCAATATGATAATCTTTCATTGAACCTGTTCTAATAAATGGACTTGTATCATTATCAGCATGAAGTAGCACATGTAGGTGAGAATGGGCTAGTCTCAAGAGCAGATTTTCATGATCGATTTGGGAGGCCTGTCCTTATAATGAGGCCAGGAATGCAGGTTTGTGCTCGGACTTTCACCCTTGGTGTACATACTGTTGCATAACTTAGTAACGTGACACAATTATTTATTTATTGTCACTGATCTATTTACTTCATATATTATATTGGTTGCAGAAAACAACAGCAGGAGAAGGTAATCTTCGCCATCTAGTATATCTTGTGGAGAATGCTATCCTTAGCCTTGCCGAAGGTCAAGAACAAATGACATGGTTGATAGACTTTACTGGATGGTCATTGAACACCAATGTCCCCATTAAAGTAGCCCGGGATATCATCAACACTCTACAGAATCATTACCCCGAGAGACTCGCTTTAGTCGTCCTTTATAATCCACCAAGGATCTTTGAGGCATTCTGGAAGGTATGAGCTCCTGCCTTCATTTACCCTAGTCAGTTGGCTAAATACAAAACATTTGCTGATCTTTTTGGCATTTCTTTTGACTTTCCATCTATTCCGTTTAATGTAACTTGCTCCACTTCCATTCCTGCAGGTTGTGAAGTATTTCGTGGACCCAAAAACGTTCCAGAAGATCAATTTTGTTTACACGAATAACAAAGACAGTGAGGAGGTCATGAAGTCATATTTTGATGCTGAAAACCTTCCAAATGTGTTTGGAGGAAAAGCGAGCCTGAAATATGACCACGAAGAGTTTTCAAGGTTGATGGCCCAAGAAGATGTGAAAACTGCTAAATTCTGGGGATTCGATTGCAAGCCATGTCACGTCACAACCAATGGACATTTAGGAGCGGAGGTGGCTCCCGAGCCAGTTAGTCTTGCACCATCTGCAAGCTGAAGGGAGTCCACGATACCCAAAAAGAGTATGTAAGTAACACTAAAGAATGAATTTACTGATGGGAGCTGAGTTGAAAACAATTTTCGGTACCTTGCTAAGATGAATAAAAATTAGTTTTCTTTGCATACTGCAGCTAACTATAGGGGAGGTTAATTTTCTTCTTCCTCTTCATATGCTCTTGATTGTATTACTACAGTATTAGTATTCCAAACCTTAAAATGACAGAACTGTAATGATTACATGGCTGCTCCTAGTGATAAATTTGATAACTCTATTGTAATACACTTCCAAGTGCCATAAGTTGCTCTTTTCTTTCTTTTTCTGTCTTTTTTCTTTTTTTCATTTTCTTACCTCTTCCATTCCATGGGCACGTGCTTTGTTTGGTTTAGATAATTTGGGGTAATTTAATAAATTTTTTGATCAAATTTAAAATGAACAGTAGTCCTGTGAGGTTTGGATGGCCTCATTGCTAAACGGGATCTGAAAATGGCATAAATGTATGCAACCTTATTTTTATTTCAAACGAGATTGTTTTTGTGTCTCGAATCCACGTCACTATAGACCTTAGGTACAAAAAAAATATATGATTGGATTCAAGTGTACTTCAATTTGCAGTAGCAAGCTTGATATAGACCACACTTTAATTCATTCACAATTTGTTGCCCCTGCATTAGCATCATCCTCGGTCCTTTCCTTTATTTTTATTCAAAAAAATAAAAGAAAAATTAAAAAAAAGAAAAGAAAAGAAGAAGATACTTTCATGAACTTTCCTCGAAATTTTTAACAATTATAGAACATCCTTGAAGTTTTTTAAATTACACTGATTTCACTTTAATTGACAGTATACATATATCCCTTCTGTTATGTTTACCATTGGCAAATTAACAGAAATTTGTGATGGAACATTTTTTGGTGTTTGAAATAATTTTGTCACCACAATCTACCACAATGGGTGGCCATCACCACCCCTCAATCTGACCACCACAATGGGTTGCGATCAGTAATGGTATTGTGGGTCGGCGATGAGATTATTGAGTACCATTGTTAGTGACGAATATGTTCACCCAAGATTTTTCTCATGTGTGCGAGTGTTCGTTTTTTTTTTTTCTTTTTTTCTTTTTGAGGGCTCTAAGCCCTCATTTATACCCAAATAATAATAAATAAATAAATGCATAATCAATATATAGAAAGGCCACGAATAAAGAGCAAATTGTTTTCAAACAGATAAAACTCATACTGCAAACCAAAGCTCTGTTTTGGGTTCAACAAAAAACGAGGTCTTCGCTGTACAATGGATTTGGTTATGGCGGGCATACTCTAATCAAAGTTCATTGGAGTAAAGGCACTCATCGACAAGTTGGCGAAGGTTGGGATTCTCCAAAGCAGCAGCAACTCTTTCTTTATCATTCAACTGCTTATTAACTGCAGGGGCACAAAAATGGCATACATTATTTTTTGTTAGTTTGGAAGGACAAATAAGCAAAGGCAGTTTGCTATGCCGAAAGCCTTTTTTCTAGCTTCTTTTGCTTCATAGGTTCTACACTGTTCTATTAAACTCATTCGCATTCGCAACAGAAGCAAACTAAAATAACTCTTCTTAATTGGCATGACATTAACTAGGTCAAATAATACAGAAAAAGTTGTACCGCACAAGGAATCCACAATGAAAATTATCAGCAATAAATAATTGGCCTCTAAGACTGTGTTTAGTTCATGGATTTGGCAAGGAAAAGGAAAAAGATGTATGAAATGTAATTATATTTTATTCATATTTCATCAACTTTTTATTTTTCTCTTTTCAAATCTCTTTCCAAATCCATAAACCAAACACAGCCTAATTAAATACATCTCCACTTATGGCTTCCCATAATCCGTTTTTATATTTCCATGTACTCAAATGGGGAATGCACAAAACAAAAATTTGTGGTGCCAATATCACTGATCTCATTGTTTGATTGCTCAAAACAATTACGCATGTTTCGAAACCTCTCACTATAATCAACATTCAGGACATAAGATGCACTAGGCACACGTGTAGATGGCACGGAAGATCCTTGCATGTGTGCCTCACAAATAGCTCAGATAGAATGGTTAGTTATGCCACGCGTCTTACCCCCATGTTCAAGGTTTTAAAAAGCGATTGCGAACGCCGTAACAGTTGCGGTGATAGTGACGTGGTTGTAGCCACGGGATGTAAAGGCCATAGCATAATGGTTGCAATAATCGGAACCGTGAATTTTTTTTATTTTTCACAAAATTTAAAAAAATTTACCATAACACTTTTTCTCTCTCTCTTCAGAATCACATTTATTAGAGTTTAAAATAGATTTTAATAATTTTTTGTTAGTTTTTAAATATGATCCAATATATTTCATATTTTAAAATTTTAAAAAGTTATCACTATTCACTAAAAACAAATATAATAAAATTAATTTTACAAAAAAAAAAGTACAACTCCCATGTCACGTGAATTGTACTTTAGCTGCCCATCGTTTGTACAAAGGGAACAGGCGGAGAAGCAAACAAGACGGTGTTGTTCGGCCCATGGGGGCCCATCACGGGTCCCGTTTTGATAATCTAAATCGTTTAATGTGTAGGAATCGTCGAGTACTATATGCCTGTAAAAAATTACGTTGATCGAGTATCACTAGCTACATGATCAAATCAGTTTTGTATAAAAAATGAATGGAATTATAGTTACTGGTTGACAAAAAACTAATCTGATCAGATACCTATCGATATCCAATCAACGTGATTTTTACAAGCATCTAATACTCGACGAATTCTACACATTGAACGGTTCTGATTAGCAAAACGGGACTCGTGGTGGGCCCCACGGGCCGAACAATACCGTCCAATTTAATGTCCGAAAAGGAGGCAACCATCTCCTATACACTACCCTGCACATGCTGCCAGCTATGACATCCACCGTACCGCCTATTCTATTCTAAGCTTCTCCTATACACTAATTTATACAATTTTTTTAATACACATTTTTTGGTAAAAAGTCAAAAAATTATCCTAAATAACCATCTTTTTTTTCTAAACTTTTTAGTTCAAAAAATACACTTATTTAGGACATTCCAAACAACCCCTTAATGACTTTATATGTCATAATCCATATTGTACCTCTTATTTTTATTTATTTGTTTACGAATAATTGATTTTAAATGTCTACAAAATTATTTTTAACAAATACCTGAAGTAACTAAATTAAAAATATTTACAATTATTAAATGAAATAATTATAAAAATAAAAATTGTGTCGTAAACAAAAACTATTTTTGAGCTACCAGATATTGCAGAATGTATATAATGTATAGCTTGTAAGGTTTTTTTTTTTTTGAAAGGAAGTTATTCAGAACATTATAAATGGTGTAACGGTGTGCAACAGGCCGTTATGGCTATTATGGTATCGCTACGGCCGTTATATAACACCGAAACGACCGTTACACATGTGAATTTCTGTCACACCGCAAACGCAGGTGTAATGGATAGCGCCTACAGCCATAACCGTTAAGTAACAGCGGCAACCGTTACATAACGCCGGTTTACATGAGTCATGCTATATCTCAGGCAGTTTCAGAAACCAAACCCTACCCTAGCATTCAAACCAAAAAACAGGAAAAGGTTTATAAACAAATGTAGACAAGATTCTGGGTTTTCTCGGCCTCACCTGATTCTTCGTTTGCGTGAGATCCAGGGGCCACTTTAATATCTACCTGTAAAATTGTATTATTAAAGGTTCAGATAAGACAAAATAAATGGTGTGGAATAAAATGACGTTCCAATGTAAATTGAATCTCTAAGGAAACATGTGTATCACTATTTGTTATTTTTATGTGGATGAGAATGTGACCCTCAAATGTGAACATTTTGTATATTGCCATCATCCAAAGTACTGAAGTCTCTGGTAATACTGCCTCTGCAACCTTAAGCGTTTCGCAAAGTTGAACAGACTTTCCATCAAAGGGATTTCTAAATTATATTAAAGACCTCCTCAAAGATTAATGAACTAGTAATTTTTATTTTCAAAGAAGCAAAACAAGGAAAACATAGTCAACCCTTGGCCTTGCAATGCATAGCAACTGCTAACGAGGAAATAAAAAATATAACATCTTATTTGTCAATTATTACCTCACATACCATGAGTTAGTGATACATAAATACCTATCTATGCAGAAGTTTACAATAAGAGATTAGTTCAATGACAGTGATACAAATTATACAATTGTGAATAAGCCATATGAAGACCAGCTAACTAGATCCAAAATAAATAAATAAATAAATGAAATGAAAAAAAAAGAAACACATTGAAAAGTTCCGTGAACTCTAGCAAAGCTATAAAGCAATGGAAAGATTGGAAAACCAACTTCACTATTGGACCATTCACCATTGCAACTTCCCTGAACTTTCAAGAAATTTGACTGGAAAATCTTACACTATGGAATAGGTATAAAAACTGACCTTAAAATGTGGAGGGAAACATTCCTTAAGTTTAACTCTGAGGCACAAACCAATTACTGTTGCCATGCTGCAGTGCTGGATAGTTGGGGTAAAAGTAATCCTACAAAGAAAGAAATTATTCCTAAGGATAAGCTTGGACATCAAAAGAAAGGAAGGAAGCTGATTTTTGCTGATACCTCTTTGATTTATTTTTTCTTTAAGTTATAGGTCTATGAGTTATCTGAGAACCAACCTGATATTTCAATGATCTCAGAGAATGGGTGATCATATTATGCAGCATAGACATTCATATGAAGAAGCCAAATCCATATTAGACAGATATTAAAGTTCTACAAATGACCATGATGTTAAAATATATACCCTTAAAAAAATTGAGACCCTGAAGACAAGCATCAGACATGCAGAAGTATAGCATGGGCCAGTGGGTGTGAAGTCTGTGTCCCCGCAGTGTTGTTAGTGAGCTGCTATCGGCATCAGTATCAGCCAGTGTGTCTTATGCACGACTGTATGATTGTGCTCAATTTGGAATAGTAAGAAAAGAAAATTGTTTTCTCCATTTTAGCTAGAAAAACTCACGAACATCAAAAAGTTCTTTGGCTCTATAATTGATTATTCTTTTTAGGAGTCCAGATGATGAGATGGACAAAATTTTTTATTTTTATTTTTATTTAATTTGAGAGCTAATTCATAATTAATTTCAAACTCCAAATCGAACATCTTAAGTAATAGATTCTAATAAATTTGTAAGCTTTTTAAGTGTACACGTATAAACATATAGAAATTCCTATATATTAGGTTAATAACATCTAAATTCATGCTCACATGCATATATATTATTGGATGGATGGATAGCATCTAAACTGCAATCTCACAAACTTATATGAACATATCAATAGATTAAGCTTAAACATAAAGAAAGCTGCAAAATACCAAATTTATGAATTCATTCACATAAGAAATTGGGAATTTGTAACTAATAATACTCACAGAATGCGACCGAGCTTCTCATCTACAGTAATTGACTCCTCAGAGAGAACGCTGAGCTGTTCCAATGAATACGGATGCTCCGGATCTCTTATATCCCTCACGAAATGTAATCGATTCAAGTCAAAGATCACAACAGTTCAAATTCCAATAACAATCCTCACCTACTAATTGAATTGACCTCAATTCAACTAAGTCCGATTGGTTGCCAAGAAAATTGAAGGAAAGTAAAACAGAGAAATAACGATGCTACATCTCCAAATTTTCTTAATTTATTCTCTAAAAAATACCTAATACCCCAATCCTTACTTCTTCTTTTTTTCATCTGAGTAAAAAATTAGTTAAGATTTTGATTATATAACACTCCAATGCTTGGCCTCACTTTTTATCAAATCTTTTTAAAAAATTCCAAATTCATCTTAAAAATCTTATCATTTTTTGATGAAATAAAACCGTCTCCAATCCTTACTCTATTTAAAGTTCATCAAATTTGAGTAAAAGTACAACTGATGAGAATTTGGTGACAGATTTGATTCATCCTTGATTTATGAAAAATTTGCTTCACCTTGACTTTATACAGATTTGATCAAATGGTTGCTTTTAGTCAAACTTGAATGTTATGCAAAAAAAATGATGAAGATGCTCCCTCCCAAGTTGCTAATATTTTAAAATTTTCTCAGCAACCAAACGCAAGTAGCACAAATGAAAAGGAAAGAAAGAAAGGGGAAAAATAGAGATGAGAGAGAGAAAAGGATATCATAAATATCGAGAGGATCGACAGCGTCGTCGCCGTGAAGATCTTCTGTGCGAGCGATCCTCTCCTTCTTGGCGTGAACCACGGGGTTCGCATTGATCAGTCCCAGAGTCATCTCTCTTTCCCACACACTCAAAACTCTCTCTCTCTCTCTCTCTCTCTCTTTTTCCCACACACACACAAGCTCAGCTCAGGGGTACTTTGTCTGAGAATGGACAGGTCTTAGTGGTCACGTACTTTACCCACCATGGTGCGGCGCGTACTTGTGCGTTCTGGAATGTTTGGTAAGCAGCTGTTTCCACGAATAGGGAAGATGTGATTGGCTGGATATGACGGTTGTAAAAGGACACATCAGAAATTGTAGCAGGGAATTGGTCTCTCCCAGTGAGTGCTACTGCTGCAACGCATGCCGTATAGTGTGCAACTCGAGCAGGACTGAAGGCCTGAGCGTACAGATGTATAATTGCCGGTGTAAATTTACAAAAATGCTTTAATAATTTTATCAAAAATTCTAGTAAATACCTATAAGATTGATATATATGGTGTGGATTCTACAAGTTTTTTTTTTTTTTAAGGTCCCTGGTATTAATATTTTCTAACATAAAGGACACTAAATATTTTCATAATATTTAAGGTCCTTCAGGTTGATTCAGAGAAAATTGGTCCAAAGAAAATTAGTCCAGAGAAAATTGATCCAAAGAAATTTCATACCCAGAGAAAATTCCAATTTCTCTGGGAATTGTGAATATATATATATAATTATGACTGCCAATTTGGTGGAAGGGGAGAAAAGGGAAGGAAAGGGAGAAGGTATGGAGGAAGCAGCTGTGAGGAGGGGAGGGAAAGAAAAGGGATTCTGTTTCTCTGGACTCCCCAAACCCAAAGAAATTCTCAGACATACATTTCCAGAGATTCTCCCACCCAGAGAATTTCTCTGGACTCCACAATCCAGAGAAAATTCTCAGCCAGAGAAATTCTCTCAACCCAAAGAATTTCTCTGGGCATGACCAGATGCAATAGCTGCTGTTGCCATAGCTTCTGTTTCTGTTGATATTCATGATAAATTGCGACTTCCCAAATCATTAGATTCTAGTTCCTCCTCAGGAAAATCCCATTCTTTTATTTCTGATTCATTAAAAGAAATAAAGTCATCATGTGTGTCTAACATATCAGTTTCCAAGCTTGCAAACTCGTCATTTATAACCAAAATACCAGTACCTATTCCTAACATAGCACAACCAATTTCCAATTCTAATCGTAGCTTTGTTCCAAAATTTTTGAGTTCTCTTGTTGCTTCTACTCCTGCTCTGCTCAACTCGTATTAGTCTGCAGAATTGGCCAAATTTGCAAAACCAACTGCATATCAATCAACAACCAGTTTACACCAAGTTTGACTTGGCCTTCTATATTTCTCATGTTTATTCCAAGCTCTTTTTGTTAGTCAATGAATGAACATTCACAAACTAGTTCTTATATACACATCTAACCCAGAGAAAATTCAAATTTCTTTGGGTTTAACCCAAAGAAAATTCAGTCCAACCAAACCAGAGAATTTTGTAAGAACTAGTTTATGTGTTTACTTTTAAAAAAATCAAATTATTCATACTCAACTTATCTTCGACTTGTTAAAACTGCAACAAATTTTTTCATAAAAAATTTTTAAATGCACATAAATCAATTACCAAACGAGGACACAACATATCTCTCCTTCCATATCTCTGAACCTCAGCAAGTACACCTTCAATGGCTCGACGTATTCTTCAAACCCTAGTGTCATCATGGCCTAGAGCAAATCGTCGCCGGTGATAAAGCTGATGAACTCTGAAATGCACTCTTGAACTGTTTCCTTGGCGTCCTTGGAGATCTTGGCGTTCGTCGGTAAAGCCTTTTTCATGATTCGACTCACGTTCGCGATCGAAAGGAACCTGTCTTGCTCCCTCGGTGATAGCTCGCTGTTCGAGTTGTTGTGTCCTCCTGATGGGTCAGATTCCGGCGATGGTGGTGGTGGTGGTGAGAGTGGTGTGAGATGGGTGAGTTTAAGAGTGGGAATGGGGTGAGGAACCTTAGACTACAAAAGAACAGATTGTGGACCTAATCTATTACTAAAAGTTGGATAGGAACCTTAGACCGATTTTCCCTTTTTTTTTAATATTCTAAAAAAGAAAATAATTTAGGAAATTAGGCTAAGTTTGACATCTTCAAAATAATTTAAAAAGTTAAAAAGTCAGTATCCTATTTAAGTCACATCATCTTATTTAAGTCACATCACCTCTCTACCACATCACTTCAAACTCAACTCATATTTCATAAAAAGTCAAAAAGTGAACTTATTTAGAACATTCCTAACAACCCCTTAATCTATTTAAAAAATTAACCTACTTTTTTAAATCATATTTTAAAAATGTGATTTTGAAATTGAAATTACATTTTTAACATGCAATTTCACCTTGAAATTCCATATTAAAAATGTAATTTCAAAAAGTGAAATCTATGTTATCATAAATTATATTTTCAACATATAATTTTAAGGTGAAAATGTTAAAAATGTAATTTTAATTTAAAATTATATTTTCAAAATGTGATTTTAAAATGTAGATTAGTTTTCCAAATAATTTTAAAAGTGGGTCAATTCTCTAAATTTATTTTTTTTAGAATATTTATAAAAAGAAAACAAAAACTCTAGGCTCTACAGCCATGAGATATTTGATAAAAAAAAAAATTCCTTAAAACATTTTATAGAATTTTTAAAACCTCCAACATTACTAAGTAAATTTATGGTCCTTGTATTGTAACATTTTTTTAAAAAAATAATTAAAATACTGTATTATTTTATTTATTTGTTTATTATTTTATTTATTCACGTGATAAAATTAATTTTTTAAATTTTTTTAAATGTGTAAAAAAGTTAAATAAATAAATAAATTAACTTTTTTTAATTACTAAAATAGACCTTATTCACGTATTAAACAAGAGTAAAAAGTCAGCTTTTTAACTTTATAATTTTTTGGATGATTCTAGTTACACCACTCTTTTACCTCCTTACACCTTTCATATAAGATTGTTTTTTTCTTCCAATTTTATCCATACGTGAAATTACTTAAAGGGACAAAACACTAAAATTAAATATATTTGATTATCTCCTTATACCCCTTGAGCTTCAATCCCTACTTCTCTTTTTCCTTTCTCAACTTTTCTTTTCTCTTACACATCTCTTTTGAAAAATTGATAATCATAGTGTTTTGATCATCAAAAAAAGCAATAGATGAAAAAACGGTGGTGAAAAACCATCAAAAAAGTGAAATGGTGGGTTTTTTTATTAGTTTGGTAGGTTTTTGTTTCGATTTTCTAGGCTGGTCTGCGACTTTTGTTCAGTGTTTCGAAATTGAACAAAATAACATAGTTTGGCATCACAGTGCCGAAAAAAAAAATATAAGTCTAGTATCAAATTGCCAAATAAAAGATAAATTTCTAATAATATAAAGCTGAATTTTTTTAATTTGGTCAGCTACTCATTGCCATGTATTTTCAGTATATATATATATATATATTTTTTGCTTGGAATGATTATACTTATACTTATTGCAACAACGCAAGTATTGCATTATTAGTGGACTTCAGTCATGAATTCATTACAGACGAGGTTTGTTAAGTTTTTTTATAAATACAATTCTTTCTTATTTCTAATTTGTATTGAGTTTTATTGATAATTTGACGTACAAATGTATTTATTATGTTTAGATTTTTAGTAGTCGTCAAGCATTAATTAAATAGGCTTCTGATGTTTGAAGGAAGACTGGTTTTGTCATTGTTATAAAGACATCAGATGCAGGAGGTAATGGCAAAAAACCAATACTTATCCTTGCTTGTGAAAGAAGTGGTTATTATAGAGACAACAGAAAGATCAAGGGGGAACGATTGAGGTTGACAGGTTCTAAAAAATGTCGATGTCCATTTCTATTAAGGGAGAAAAAATTACCTACAAATGATGAGTGGATGTTTGTCACGACCCAAACCCGGCCCTATGGGTTTAGCACCGTAACCGGCCAGTAATCCGAGATTACCGAAGGCCTGCAGAACAGTAATGCAGTAAAACAGAGTACAGGGCCTGGCGGAAGCCAATACAGTAATTAAACAATGTCCAATGAGCTGTGACAGTCTGTATGCCAAAAAGATTTTTCATGCATTCATACATAAACAGTACAGAAAGCATTCCGTCTGTACAAAACAGTACGGTCTATACAAAATTTACAATCACACAGTACAGGGACCTAATCCCTTGATAACAGTACAGTTAGCAACTGACAGTCTATACAGTAATCCAAACAGTATTTGCTTGGAATGATTATACTTATACTTATTGCAACAACGCAAGTATTGCATTATTAGTGGACTTCAGTCATGAATTCATTACAGACGAGGTTTGTTAAGTTTTTTTATAAATACAATTCTTTCTTATTTCTAATTTGTATTGAGTTTTATTAATAATTTTGACGTACAAATGTATTTATTATGTTTAGATTTTTAGTAGTCGTCAAGCATTAATTAAATAGGCTTCTGATGTTTGAAGGAAGACTGGATTTGTCATTGTTATAAAGACATCAGATGCAGGAGGTAATGGCAAAAAACCAATACTTATCCTTGCTTGTGAAAGAAGTGGTTATTATAGAGACAACAGAAAGATCAAGGGGGATCAGTCATCATCAATTCCGTTTAGCAGTAATCGGTGATTATCGGTAATCAATCAGTCCCTAATCAGTAAACAGTATGAGGGTTGTTACAATGTTGCATGTCTTATGTGGAGTGCACACTCATCCGTCTACTAAATATCTTGAAGGACACTCATTTGCTGGCAGATTATCTAAGAAGAAAACATCCTTATTAGTTGACATGTCGAAGAGTATGGTGCGACCAAAAGAGATATTGGTTACATTGAACAAATGGATGCCTTTAATGCGACAACAATGAAGACAATCTACAACGCACGTCATCGACATCGAGTAGTATAGAGGACGGGAAGATCACAGATGTAACAACTATTAGGGCAATTGTTGATTCAAAATTATGTTAAGTGGCATCAATGTAATGATAGAGAGATGGTGACTGACTTGTTTAGGGCGCACCCAGTTAGTTTGGAGTTGTTACGTGTATTTCCATATGTGTTGATTATGGACTACACATGCAAGACTAATAGATATCGACTCTCTCTCTTAGAGATTGTTGGGGTAACATCAACGGACTTGACTTTTTCAGTTGCTTTTGCTTATCTTGGTCATGAACGAGGGGACAACTATACGTAGTGCACTACATAAAAGATGTACAAGCAGATGCCAATTGTGGTTTCAAGGCAATAGTTGGGCCGATTGGTTTAAGTGAAGATGATTGGCAACAAGTTAGGTGCAACTTGTTGACTGAGTTGCATTCGAATGTAGTACACTACGTGCAACTATTTGGTTCACAAGAAAGGGTTGGTGAACTTAACTTTATCTTATCATATTTCAAACCTAGCCCTGGATTTGATTATTGGATGACTATGTCTGGCATGGGCTATTTGATAGCATCATACTATCGAGTCGTTCTTTGCCATTTATCTATGCAACAATGCTTGACGTTTTTACCACTTAGATCAATACCGATTGCAATACCTGATCGAAGAGATATCTGCATAGGATTTGTAAATGGAAACCATTTAGTGCAGGTAACTACCGAGCCTACTTACATCATTACCATGTCTTATTTTGTAATTATATTTATTGATTTATTTGTTATAGGTTTCTTTGCAACCAGGTCATCCAGTACCTCCGATAGCAAATAATTGGATTCGTTTTCATCACCCGTGTACTATTGGATAGGAGAAAGCATATACTATCTGTATTCAGCAATTCCGTACTCTTATTAGCCCTGACGTAATAACTACCGAAACAATCGATATAGAAGAATTGTGATAACATGTTTGATTGATGGATGTAAACAATGATAGATTTTATGGACGCTTTTATGGATATTCGTACACTTAATTTTGTTATGAAATATTTTATGAAAACTTTTTATGTTTGATTTTATAGATGCGTGTTTGATTTATGGATATTTTTTGTTAAACTGGATTAATTCAAATTCGTTAACATTCTATTACCGGACAAGCCCAAATTATTATTTAGAACAAAGTGGCTTTGTAAATGTATAGCAACACAATGCTAGACAAATATATTTCTTCTAGCAGCATAACACCGGAAAAATGTAATTTGTCTATTATTATGTGACTAAACAGACACTTCACAGTGGACGCCATTGACTTTGTTATGAAGTAAATTGAAATTCTCCAATTGTATAGCAACATAATGCTGGCAAAAAATAGTTTGTCTGGTAACACGACATTGGAGTAATTGAAATTCACTAGCATTTTATTATCGAACAGGCTCAGCACAAATTATTGCCACATCATTTGGGAAGAAGTGACTCTATAAATGTATAGCCACAAAAGGCTGGACAAAACCATTTATTCCGACGTCATAGCACCGAATTTTTGAAAATTGTTTTGCATTGTGTGACCGAACAAGCACTTCAATGTGGACTCTATTGGCTTTGTTGGGAAACGAACATAAATTATCTAACTGAACGGTAACATAATGCTGGGAAACAAAAAATTTTCTAGTAATATGGAACTAGAGTAATTCAAATTGTTTAACATTGTATTACCGAACAGGCCCAGCATAAATAAAAAAAAGAATATTGTTTAGGATGAAGTGGCTCTGGAAATATATAGCAATTAAATGCTAGAGGGATCTATTATTTCCAACAACTGAATATCAGAATAATGGAAATTGTTTAACAGTATGTCGCTGAACTGGTCCATAGCACTGAAAAAAATAATGTTACTTCCAGCAAATGGTACCATATCACTCCAAAACACTTTAATACCATTACAATGCATTACAAACAATAACAAATCCATATGTTCGCCAAAATAAATTTCCACTGACATAAATATTGAATACAAAATAGATGTGAAATTGTTTAAAATTCTTCCAAACGTATGACAATTCATTACTTGTCCAACCAAGCATCCAGTTTACAAAAGATCCAAGGCATCCACCAAAACTATGCCATTAGGGAAAAGTATATCCCAAATTTTGTACGGCCTAGGCATTCACAAAAACTATGTCATCAAAAAAAAAAAAAACTAGATCGCAAATTCTGTACAGGATAGGCTTTCACCAAAAATCACAAACCCAATTAAATTCTAAAATCAAAACCACCAAAGCTATGTTGTGAATGTGCTATTCTTCGTCTATTCGTAAAAAATGATGACATAGATGATATAGATATATGGATAGATACACATACATATGTCTATCAATATAGAGAGAGAAAGAAGAGTTTTTTCACTTACCTTTGGCAAATGAAAAAAGTGAGTTCAATTGTCCACGTCGTCCGAACGCTTCCACGCCAGTGTTGTCTACTCTTCTTTCCTGCGTCGTTCTCTCTTCCCTCCAAAAGTACGGGTGTAAAAAAATTGGTTTTGAAGAGTTTTTTATCATAGGGTTTGTTTTAATAATATATTAGATGTAATGAGACTTTAATTTTTTTTTAAGTGGTGTAATGAGATAGAGGGTGTAAGGAGATAAAAGAGTGGTGTAAGTAGAATCACCCTAGCTTTTTAGTCAAAAAAACCAACTTTTTTACTCAAAATAACCCAGTTTTTTGTCAAAAAAGCTACAAAAAAAGTCAAAAAGTCAATTTTTTACCAACTTCTCAAAACACCACTCAAACTTGTTGGTTACGGAGTATTTTTTTTAAATATTCTAAAAAATAATAATTTAAAGAATTGATCCATTTTTTTAATTATTTAGGAAATTAACCTGCTTTTTAAAATTACATTTTGAAAATATAATTTAAAATTGAAATTGTATTTTCAACATACAATTTCACATTGAAATCGCATGTTGAAAATGCAATTTATGATGACATGGATTTCATTTTTTAAAATTACATTTTCAACATGCAATTTCATCGCATATTGAAAAAGCAATTTCAATTTCAAAATCGCGTTTTCAAAAAAAAAATAATTTCCTAAATAGTTTGAAAAATGAATCAATTCTTTAAATTGTTTTTTTTTTAGAATATTAAAAAAAAAAACTCCTTCTTTAGGTTACATCAACTATAATTTTTGTAATCAATGGTCCGCCAATAATAGACAAAAATATTATAATAATTTTTTTTTCCCAAAGCAATACTATATCCTTATCACCAAAAAATTTCATTTATCAAATTATTACAATCAAGACAAAATAATTATTCGATCTAATACCATACCTCCCTAAAAATGAACAACTCAATCATTTTTCCTAAATTGATTCTATTGTTTTAATATAATATTTATTGTGCTAAAATAATACTTTAACAATATGTGGAAGTATATCAAATTATATAAGAATAAAAAATATACATAAAAAATTATTAATATTATCGTTAAATGCTCATTGAACCATCATTAGGGATAAATTTTTTTTATCTTAATTTATTGTGTCAAGTTATTTATCGTCATTCAATTTATATTTATATGACATAATTATATATTTTATCAAAAGAAAGATAATTGACCAGATGCATGGTTTAAAATAAACAATAAACTGTACCAAAAATATTAAAATAAATAAATAATAATTTTATAAATAAACATAATTACACATTTAAATACACACCTTGATTGTTAAGTAAAGCTGTTTAGGTCTATCTTCGAGGATAAAATTAGAATTAACAAACAAAATAAAACATATATTTTAATATAAAAATATGTCATAATTATTTTTATATTCATATGATTAATAAATTTTGATAAAAAAATGACTTAAGTATTATATAAATTAAAATCTGAATGAAACTTAATATAATTTTGTTAAATTTATAAACTTATGTTTTCTTTTCAAATATTAAAGATTAATGTAATTATATAAAATTTATGGAGCTCATTGCTTCTTTTTTTTTTTTTCAAAATGATTACCTTGTGTGGTTTCATAAAATTTTTAAAAATTAAGTTTTTTTATTTTTTGCGTTTTTTGTTTTTAGTCAAAAAAAAAATTAATATTTTGAGATTTTTTTAAATTTTTTTTTAGATACACTTAATTTAAATATGTTTAAAAAACATAATATTTATGAAAAATTATTTTAAAAATTCATCAAATATAAAAAATGTAAAAATATATACAAATTCAACACATTTTCATATTCATATGTATTTATTGAATTTTTAAATATTTGTTCACAAATATTTTACTGTGCTCCGTTTGTTTAGGCAGAAAACATTTTTTTTTTTTTGTATTTTATGGTATAATGGGAAATAAAAGTTAACGAAAAATATTTTTCATGATTAATAGAAAATAAGCATATATAAGCAGAAAACATTTTCTGCTTTTAAAAGGCAAAAAATATTTTTCAGATTAAAGTCTTATCAATGTCATTATATTATAACAACCACTTTCACCTCACCACCACCATCACCACGTCCACTACCATTATCGCCATCGCTATCACCGCTATTGACGCCCCCATCACCAAGCCACCACTTCTAGCTCCACCTTTGTTTCACCATCACCATTGCAAAACATAGAAAAATATTTTTCACCAAAACAGACGAAGTTGCATTTAAATTATGTGAATCTAAAAAACAAAAAATTTAGTTAATTTTTTTTTTAAATGCACTAAAAATATAAAAAATAAACAATTCAATTTTCAGAAAATAAATTAGAAGCAAACAATGTGACATAATTTATCCCAAAAAAAAAAAAATCATAAAGCAATTCGGAGGTTCAACGACGTCGTTTTCTTCCCCCTTGCATGATTGCATCTCTTTCTTTCGGATTTGGGAAAAGCTCGGAGACAGGGAAGGAAGACGAAGACGAAGACGAAGACGATGGTACACAGTGCTTTCGATTCCTTCGAGCTCCTCAATGGTTGCCCTACTAAGATAGACGCCATTGAATCCTACGGTTCCAAACTACTCCTTGGCTGCTCCGATGGATCTCTCCGGATCTACGGCCCAGAATCCTCCGTCTCCGACCGATCTCTGCCCTCTGTCCAAACCCCAGAGCTCCGAAAGGAACCCTACGTCCTCGAACGAACTGTAAATGGCTTCTCAAAGAGGCCAATGGTTTCAATGGAGGTTTTGGGGTCGAGAGAGCTTCTTCTTTCGCTCTCTGAATCGATCGCGTTCCATCGTCTTCCAAATTTGGAGACCATTGCTGTGATTACCAAGGCCAAAGGCGCGAACGTTTATTCATGGGACGATCGGAGAGGTTTCTTGTGCTTCGCGAGGCAAAAGAGGGTCTCTATTTTCAGACACGATGGTAATTTAGCTAATTCTGAGTACACTACCTGTTGTTAACGATTGGAAATGATATTAATACATGTTTGGTGATCGTAAATACGGAGGCAATTCATATATATTTTTATTGAATCATGGATGGATTAGTTAAACCCTTAGTTTGGGTGCTTAAAGAAGTAGAAGAATTTGTTGTTTTGGTTTCGAATACTTATTTTTAAGGAAAGGTAAAAACAAAAAACTGAAATTGTTGAATGAGGCTCATCTGAGTGAACATTTTTGTGTTTTAAGGGTCCCAAACAGTGAAATTGTTTAAACTTAATAATACATTTAATAATAATAATAATAAAAAAAAAACTCATTTTGTTGCTGTTTTTTTAGCAACCAAGCAATGCATTAGTTTTCATTTTCTCAATCTGAAGTTTAATTGGGTTTTTGTCCTTTTGGGCTTCTGACTGATAACATTCGGATTGTTGTAACTTCATCACGCCCATGTGCAATTTGGCAGGAGAACGATCAAAATTTTTTATTAAGGCCTCATTAATCTTGTAATAACTTGGTCAAATTGCTTATGCTACTTTTGTAGGAGGACGGGGATTTGTGGAGGTGAAGGAATTTGGAGTTCCCGATACGGTCAAGTCAATGTCTTGGTGTGGTGAGAATATATGTCTGGGGATTAGAAGGGAGTATGTGATACTAAATTCCACAAACGGTGCATTGTCCGATGTATTTCCTTCTGGAAGGATTGCCCCACCATTGGTGGTGTCTCTTCCATCTGGAGAACTTCTTTTGGGGAAGGTACTCACTCATCTTTGTTCATGACTAATATATGTTATACCTGCTTTGTGTCTAAAATGTAGTTCTGGTGGGATTTGTTAGCATCGTCTTGATGCTCGTTTTTCTAATAAAAGTCACTCTTCATTTTTTAAAAAAAAAGAGAAGAAGAAAAACGTTACACCTGCTTTGTCAGCCTTATGGTCTCCAGTTCACTGGTATACTGAGATTAACATTATAGTTCCAGGTCGGATGCCTCCACTAAATGCATATTTGTTGTTTGATATAGTGTTTTAAAAAGTTTTAGGTGCATTAGGGCGCCAAGGTCACCTGGAGCCTAAGCGTCGAGGCGCGAGGTGAGGCCTGCGTGACCGCGTCTCACCAAAGCAAGGCGCAAGTTATAGAAGTTAAGCAAAATATCAACATAGCACAATTTTCAACATAAGCAAATATTTATAGAATTCCAAAATGAACAAAACAATATTCAACATTCCAAAAATCATGAAAGTAACATCAAACAACATTCATAAGAACTTAATAATCCACAAAGTTGAAAACAACTAAACATCTAGTGACTAGTCCCATGGATGCATTGTTCTAAGAACTTAATAATAAGCGTCATCTCCTTCATCATCATTAGATTTATATCCCTCCACATCCCCCTCTTCTTCCTCATCTGAATCAACATCTTCCTATTCCTCTTCCTCATCTACAAGTCGACATGAGCTTGAACCAAATGGAGTTGTCCTAGTTGTGGTTGATCTAGTTGTGGTTGATCTAGTTCTTTGGTTACTTTCCTCAACTGCAGCAGCTACAGCAACATCATCCCACCCCAAAGAATCATCATCATCATCAAACACAAGCTCATTCTCCATCCTCCCAATCAGCCATTCATTGCTTTCATCAATATCTTTCAAAGAGATGGGATCAAATTTGCCACGTGAAATGTATCGACGTTTCAATGCTCTATTATACTTGACAAAGACCAAATCATTGAGACGTTTTTGAGCTAGCCTATTTCTCTTTTTGCTGTGAAGCTGCAACAATAAATAAAAAAACATTTAAATTCATATATAACTAAAAAAAATTTGGAAGAAAATTTTAGAGTTCCCCAAATTTGACAACGGATACTCACATGTTCAAACGCACTCCAATTCTGCTCACAACCAGATGAACTACAAGTAAGACTAAGAACTTTAATGGCAAATTGTTGCAACTCAGGAGCATCATGACCATAAGAACTCCACCAATCAGCTGTAAATGATTATTAGTTAACACTTCACAGATAATTAAACTATAAGGAACTGACTATTAACTTAATTTTCTTTGTCTAATTGCCATAGGTATTCCAAAAAGTCCTTTAGCATTTTCATATTTTTTTCAAGTGTGCAGTAACTTTATCTTGGACCTCTAGTGTTGGGATCAACCTTGATATACATTGATATAGGCCTGATACGATTTCTTTGTGCTTTTTAGCCCTTGGATCTTTGTAAAAAAATTCTGGATTTAAATAAAACCCAGCTGCATGTAAAGGGCGATGCAATTGAATATTCCACCTTTGGTCAATGATTTGAAACACATCTTTGTACTTTTCTTCATTTCCATTGAAGCTATTTGCAATAGCTTCCTTAGCCCTATCCATAGCCTCATAAATGTAACTCATTGGAGGCTTTTCTTCACCATCAACCTTTCTTAGTACATGAACAAGAGGACATGAAAATTGGAGGGCAAGGTGACAATGGTTTCAAAATGAAGGCATTAGTAGTATTTGAGCTGTCTTCTTACCCTGTGGCTCCTTTACCCATTTGCTTTTGGTCCACTCTGAAGTGAACATCTTCCTCAAATTGTTCCTTTGTTGATAAACCCTTTGTAAAGTTAAGAAAGTCGTTGCAAATCTAGTTTTGGCAGGCTTAACTAACTCCTTCAACTGAGTAAAACACCTCATCATATTCAACAAAGATGGTCGGTTATAAATGTAACCATGTATCCCAATTGCCCTTTCAAATGTCTTCCTAAAATTGGGTAATTTGAAGATGTCTTTCAACATTAAATCCAAACAATGGGCTGCACAAGGCGTCTAGTACAAGTGGGGTCTCTTTGTCTCCAAAAACTTCCTTATTAGAAGTAACAACCAAAACACAAAATTAATGATATGAAACAAAATGATTTATGTTGCAAAATAATAACATAATAAGTTTTTCTAAAGATTTTTACCTACCAATGCATTTGCTGCCGCACTATTCGTGATGACTTGGATCACATTAGCTTCTCCAATTTTCTCCACAAAATTATCAAGCAAATTAAGCATCTTATTTCTATCCTTTGAGTAACTAGATGCATCAATGGATTCAATAAACATGGTGCCTTTGGGAAAATTCACTAAGAAATTAAGCAAAGTCCTATTTCTCTTATCTGTCCAACCATCGCACATTATAAAACATCCATACTTTGCCCAATCGTCTCTATGTTCCTTCATCAATTTGTTAACATGATTCACTTCTTTTTTGAGGTAAGGAACTCGTCTCATGTGATAAGTTGGTGGTTTCAAACCAGGACCAAATTGCCCGATAGCTTGAATCATTGGCCCAAAACTATCATAATTCACTGCATTGAAAGGAATCCCAATGTCATACATCCATATTGCAATTCTAACATACGCCCATTCCATTAACTCTTTCTTATAGGGATCATTTTCATCAATTTTACTTTGCTTCCCCTTACCTTTTTGTTTTTGCGCCACCACATCTGGATCAGGTGTGAAGAAACAATCCATAGGCCCTATCTTCCTAGGCCTTTTAAGTTTGGATTGAACAGAACCAGAGCTGGTTCTTTCAGTAGAACCTTGAGTAGGAATGGACTTTTTACCATGCTGAGGGAGTTCTACAAGATCATCCCCATCCTCAAAATCTTCTTCATCAACCATATCATCAAAATCAGGGATCAAGTTGATTTGCTCCTTAACTTGCTTTTTTTTAGCCATAAACTCAGAAATCTCATCTCTAACCTAAGTTGGGATTCCTATACCCTCCAACAAGATGTTGCTTAACTCAACAAACACCCCTATTCATCTCTTTTCCACAAAAATTGCATACTTACTTAGGTTTCCAAGATTTACCATCGTTGAATACTTCCATGCTGGATCTTTCTTTCCACTTTCAGCACTCGACATTTGACTCAACAAGATGTTTTATTTTTTTTATTTTTTTATTATTTTTTTAACAGGACAAGAGAAGGCAAGAAAAAAATAGAGACTAGAGAAGAAGAATAAAAAAATGAAAAAGAAAGAATTAAAAAAAATTGAATAAGAAACTAGCGAAGAGAAGAAAAGACAGATGAAAGAAGAGGAGAAAAACTAAAAAACAGAGAAGAAGAAGAAGAAGAAGAAGAAGAAGAAGAAGAAGAAGAACATAAGAGAGAAGAAGAAGAAGAACATAAGAGAGAAGAAGAAACAAAAGAGACGAACCTGAAGACAACGTCGATGTCGAAGCTCACGTCGATGTCGAAGCTCAAATTTTGGTCACAACAGATTTAGGACTTCGTCGATTCAAAATTTTGGTTGCAACAGATTTAGGGCTTCGTCGATTCGAACAAGCTCACCAACAGATTTGTATTGTATAAGAGTTTTGATCTTATGTGGCTAGTACACAAACACAAAACAGGTCAGGCTTAGCCGAAGCGCACGAAGCGTGCGCTTTGAGCTTAGGCGAAAGGCGCGCGCCTCAGCGTCTTACGTGCGCTTCTCGCAATGCGCCTCGCTTCGTCTGCTTCGAGCGCCGACCCTGCGCCTCGCCTCGCTTAGCGACTGGGCACGTGCCTAGGCACGCTTTTTAAAATGCTAGTTTGATACATACGTGAGTACAGTTGAAATATGTACCATTTTTTATGCATGTTTATGTGTTGCCACCTCTAGAAACGAGGGAAACATTCACTAACTCAATGACTGACCAGTTTTAATTATATAAGCTATTAATGCCCTTGTATAGATTTGAAGTTACTTGTTAAAAAATGATGTATTATTGATTGATGTATTGAATGTTGTGTATATTACAAATGGTGAGTGGCTCATTATATAGGAGAGGGTGAGTGTAGTAGGTGAGGAGTAGGTGAGGAGTAGGTGGTGGTAGGTGATGGTAAATTGGTGGTAGGTGATGGTAAATTTTAACAGCCCCCCGCAAACTTAAGGAGGATAGAAACTAACCAACTTGAGTTTGGAGAGAGTAACAAAACATGAAAATACATAAAAATAAAAGAGGATAGGTGACACTGTATGGTCGTGTCAGACCATTGTACAAGACAGTTTATGGGGTCATGTCGGACCGTTGTAGAAGACAGTTTATGGGGTCATGTCGGCCCGTTGGAGAAGACAGTTTATGGGGTCTTGCTGGACCCTTGTAGAAACTAACCGGAATTAATGTCGGGACAGTTTACAGAGTCTTGTCGGACCCATAAAAGAGCTAACCGGAATCAATGTCGGGACAGTTTACAGAGTCTTGTCGGACCCATAAAAAATCTAACCGGAATCAATGTCGGGAAAGTTTACAGAGTCTTGTCGGACCCCTAAAAAGTCGCACCCTCAAAAGGTGTGCCCAATTTTTCAAAACCCTAAAGTGTCAAATACCCCACGGGGGATCGGGTAACAAGGAAATTACTTTAACCTTGAAAAAAGCTTTTTAGTTAAAAAAGCAAAGGAACGTTCCTTGCTAGAGTGTGCTTCTGGAAATTAAAAGTTTGCTTTTTTTTCCCCTTTTCCTAGTTTGTTCCCCTCAATCCGGGTTTTTTCCATTCCGAAACTAGGAAGGAGTAAGAAGACAAGTAAGCCAGGTCTAGTCCAAGGAAGGCCCTTTTCCTTTTTTTTGGAAAGAGTTTTGAGGGAAAAGCCTTATGCCGGGGTGATTTAACTCGGATTGGGAACTGATAAGAAGCAAAGCAGTGCCTCCTCAGAGTAGCACTTATACGTGTTTGCTCAGATAGGAGTT